GTGTGTTCCCTCTTTCAGTATGGTTAACCTTTCCTTTTTGCCTATGACCTAAAAGTAGTTTATTCATTCTCGTCTCCCACAAAAGAGAACTATATTTCGGAGGTAGTCCAAGAAGAAATAAACATGTTATACGAATGGACTGTTTCATGGAATTCGCCACTTAAGGTTGTTAAAAGTGGATTCATTCACATTGACCGCTGCCTTAACAAAAATCTAACTATACACAAACATACACTTGTAGTGAACTACTTTTGTCAAGAGAACGCGATTGGTTTAATGGAAGCAATCACTATTATAGCCAGTTGTATCAGTGATTGTTTTATTGTACTTGTTCGTTTAACTGTACTAAAGACACCCATTATTCCTCCACACTTTCTTCCATTGATTGTGACCCTGCACGAATTCGGTTACGCTCAGTAACCGCACTTGTTACCTAGCACGATGTCGGTATCTTTTTGATACCACGAGATGGCCAAAAAATGCATTTCAACTACAGCCATCAACTGCCTTCTGATATTTGATCTACGAGGGATCTTATCGGTTAACTGGCACGTAGTCTTCCTGTAGTGATGATCATAGCCAACCGCAACTCGACGCCACGCTACATACTCAAGCCTCCCAACACTGTTTGTGACTTGGGTTTAAGATATAGCAACAGTTTGAACTTTTCTGAGCACATTTCATCATAAGTATCCAAAGCTAGAAAGCTCGATGAATTCATAATGATAAACTTCAGTAATATCGAATCGAGATTATTATTATTCAGAAAATGTATCTTACCCATTCTTGAATATGGTATTTTAGTTTGCAGTAATTGCAGGCACAATGACCTGACTAAAACTGAAGGTGTTCAAAGAAGGTTCACCGAAGCTGTTCTGGGGTATTCCGACAACAAAGACTGTCACCAAAGATGTCAACAACTCAACTTAGAACCTCTTTGGATCAGACGTATCAATTTAAATCTTGTTTTTATCTACCGGCCTATTAACGGCATTTCCTACTCTTCGGTATCCACCCTTTTCATACCTTATGATATCATCCCACAATCTACGCAATAACGAGAATATTCTAGCGATTCCAAGAACCCATACGAACTTACACCAGAAAAGTTTCGTTATTCGCTACTCAACTATGTGGAACAGACTGTCAGTGAACCTCCATTGCAGTGAAACTACAACCCGGTTCAGAAGTCTCGTTGATGATTTTCTTTCCGAAAGTAGATTATGTCACCTATTGAATATCAGTGTATTCAATAATGATTTATACAAACAAGGTCCGTCATCCATTTAATTGCCTGAAAAGCAAAATGAAACCTTTGAAACTTTTCACGTCTGTTTTATTTTATTTCTATTTATCTCAATATATGAAGTCTGTTTATGTTCGTATTTATCATTATTACCGTTATTATTACCATTATTAGTTCCCCGACACATTAGATATTCTTTTTATCTCTTATCGTTCTAAACATACTTAACTCCATATTGTCCTTTGAAACCAATTGTGACTTTCATAGCATCATTCTTAATTATTATTGCACAAATATTTATACTAATATCCGGTTTCACTCTGTATACTATTACATAAATCTAAATGTATTCATCCGAGTGCACTAAAGGACTTTTATTTTATTTTTATCAATTGCTGGTTTACGTCTGAGGTTGATATTCATTACACAATTATTATTTTTATCAAGGATGAACCTTTTCACTAGGTGTTCGCTTCTTTTCTCTCTCTTCTTTCCTTCTAAATAAATATTATTCTTTAGATCACGAAGTTTGTAATTAAGACGATATTTTGTGTTACATTTAAATTAACTTCTCAGACTTGTTTTATCTTCACTATGCATATATCACACATACATATTGATATTTCGTCATCCTTCTCACTTAATTGAGACTTTCATAGCGTCACTCCAAACGATAACTGCACAAGAATTTATTCCAGCGTCATATCTTACTGCAATAACAAGTCATTTTTTCTCATTTTCTTTTCTATCTCATTTTTGATACTAATTTGACGCCACATACATAGTCCTTTATTCTTGTTCTGTGTTCATAAACATGCCTATTAAACTATTTCACATCTCCTTTATTTCTATTCCCTTATTTTCTTCCTTTCTTTCTTTAAACTCAACTCAATATTCTCGACTACACAGAACATGATACTTGGTATTATTTGGCTTGTATCTTCCCATTGAGGTCTAAGACTGCAACTGATCAGTCTGTTATTGTAATATGTGCATACTGTGCGTATGCCTCGATATTTACTAACTTCACATCCTTTTTGTGGGCAACGATGGATAGTGGCTAGCAGTGGAATCCAGGACGTGCGTTTCGTCCTATCTGGGACTCGTCAGCTGGATGTACTTGACGATTCCCAAATAGGACGAAACGCACGTCCTGGATTCCACTGCCAGCCACTATCCATCGTTGCTTACAAAAATACACAGAACATGATTTATTATTATTATTCTATTATTTTTACTCTGTTTTTTTCAAATATGGCAAATATAATGCTAACATTATTGAAACTTTTGTTTTATTGCATTTTTGAAAAAACCCGAAGTGGTTTTTTAACAGCACTCATGTAACCAAAAGATGTTTGTGAATAATAATAGTAACATTAATGACTGATATGCAGACACGTGCTCAATCAGCGTCACACATAATTTTTCATAGTAGATTAAGTGTGGATTAAATTAGCAGTCAAATAATACAGTAGTTGAATGGGCTTACTACACATCATTGCAATTGGTGTGTTAACTGAGACTTTAACTCCGCCTGTAGCTCTTATAGGGTTGCTGCCGGTCCCAAGCCCGGGTAAAGCAGGAGGTTTGAGAATGGGGTTAGCGTCCCCATCCCGTAGAAAACTAACTCGCTAAAAAAACGCTTACCAGAAAAAATAATCCAAACCATTTTAACTCTGCCCTGGGAGTTAGAAGGTCTTCATTTAGAAGAATTATGACGCTTCATGGTGAAAGCCGAATTCCTTCGGAAGCCACGAGGCCGATGCCCCTTCTAACAACCAGAACAAAAATTTATAGGTACATGGAACGTTCGAACATGGGGAAACCGGGAAGACCAGTCAAATATCAATGGAAATGAGGAGATACAACTTGGCTGTACTGGGAATCACCGAAACCCCTGGACCCAAGCTGGACAGAAAAGGCTAGCTACGGGAGAGTGCTGCTATACTCCGGTCACGAAGAGGACAATGCTCCACACACTCAGGGAGTCGCTCTTATGCTGTCCAAAGTAGAACGGATGGCACTTGTAGGATGGGAATCTCACGGATCCAGAATCATCAAAGCATCATTCAAAACAAAGAAGGAGGGGATCTTAATGAATATATCCAATGTTATGCACCCACCAATGATAGCAACGACGAAATTAAAGATCAGTTCTACGAGCGGCTGCAATCAATCACAGAGAAGTGCCCAAGAAAGGACTCACCATTCTGATGAGAGATCTAAACGCCAAAGTTGGAAAACAACACCAGAAATGAAGATATCATGAAACGACATGGATTGACTGGGAGAGAGAAACGAAAATGGAGAAAGATTTGCAAATCTATGTGCATTCAACAAATTGGTCATAGGAGGCACAATATTTCCACACAAGCTTATACACAAGGCTACATGGATCTCACCGGACCACACTACAGAGAACCAAATAGATCATATTTGCATCAACAAAAAATTCCGAAGGACAATATAAGATGTGAGAACCAGGAGAGGTGCTGACGTAGCTTCAGATCACCACCTAGTTGTAGCCAATTTGAAACTGAAGCTAAAAAGAACTGGACAAGTGGACAAACAGCATACAATAATACAATACAATAATCTACACGCTAATTTTGGTTACCACTTTTTCGCGTTCATATTTGTCTGGTCCACCACAAATCTGTGCGTGGTCTATCCAGACAGGATAGAATAGCATTTATTTGTTGTGATTGGTAATTTTCTCGCATCCTTCATCACCTTCCTTATTTATTGTAATTTATGTTTGATCAATTCAACAATTATTCGTTGGATAGCTGGGTGGTCATATTTGTTTAAGTAACAATGTACATTTAAATTTATGGTGAATCATAGAACCGTCATTTTACCTAATCATTTTGTTTTGGTTTCAACCGGGGCAAGGGCACCTATCTAACCCACCTAGACAACCATTCTTCAGTCCAAAACTTATTTTGGATCTTACAGTGCGTAATACTGATAATCGCTATTGTTCTAGTACTTTATATATATACTATCTGATTGTCGCGCTTTAATATATGTATGGCAATACGGGCAAGAAAAAAATAATGTAAAAGAAATTCATATTGTTCTATCGCAAAAGCAATGAAATCGCAAGACATTCAAAATTTAGTAACTGACTTCCAACTAGAGAAACGAAAAAGTTATTTTGCTATTCACTTGCTACCTCTTATATTTCGATGTCTAAAAATGACAAAAGTAAAGTTAAATGACCAACAAATTAGAAATCTGTGTGAAATTCATCTACACATTATACATCTGAATTCTTACACCACAAAACGTCGAGTTTCGATAACCCGATTGCTCTAATTTCACGCTTGTGTTCCTTGAAATTTTTGTCTGTTGGCTCCATCACCAAATGAAAGTGAATCCTACGAGGTGTCTGAGTCGTCAACATACGTTTTCCTTCGTTCATTTCTTTTCAATGTTCTCTCGGAAACTAACATTCATGATCCCCCAGAACACAAAAATAGACACGAGTCCATCAAACGCTGAACGCCCCAACATTAACTGATGTTATTTCAAGGTCCGAACTTTGCTAATAAAAACCGTTTAACATTTATTAAAACAAACTAATGACCACAAAAAGGTCTCTATAAATTATCTCATAAGCAATAAACCATAGCATATTTATTACGAAAGCTTTTAAAAACAAGGACAGAGGTTTTAAAGTCATTATTTAGTGCTGTTATATGATTGTTGTATACATCTAACGTAATGTCTTCCGGAGTCCCGGGAATTTGAGTCAAGGTCAATAATATTACGTCTTCATTCTTTCGTTTTATAGGTATAATTGTAGGTTGCCCTTTTTCCGTAAGTACTTTCGTGTACTTCGAACAGCAGCACAAGTTACTACTTACCACTCCTTCAATGCGTAGCATTCTAATCCTACACGTTTCTTTTATTTATCCTATTTAGATATTGTAGCTGATCGAACCGCTGTTGCTCGACGATAGTACTTCTTTTAGGGTTCATAAAAAGTCTTGTAAAAGTAGAATAAAATTCGGACTGTCGCTGGCCGGAGGCTATACTATTCGTGTGTTTTTCGTCCGTAATATTTTTGAACAGTGAACACATCTATTTCACAGAATACCTGAAGAAACATGAGCGTGCTTCTGTTCATCCCAAATATACTTGGTACGAAACGTTCATCTATGTAACTTTTTATGTGGTAAATTCTTTTGCGTACTTGGAATACAATAAGAAGTGATATTTTGTCAGATCTTCATTGCCTACATTTTCTTTTCATATTACTATTTTATATGTGTACCATTGCATTTCGTGGGTGGTAGTTACTGCTTTTATATGTGGTCTAGATGTTTGTTATAGAACTAATACGAATTTTCATGTAGTTTCCAACCTCCGATCTGCTAAATGCTAGTAGTTTTCTCATTCTTCACTTAGTTCCTATTATAATATAAGCTGCTTGCCTTCACACTATAGATTTTTCGGATAAATATCTTTGCCGGCATTTTGAGTCCGAGTTGTTCACTAGCAGATTATTCTTTCGCCCCTCTTATTTCATCGACACGTGGATTGGGTCTTCACGAGCGGATTGAAATGTGCTAGTAATCTTTCGGAACATCAATACACGCGAAACATACAAGCTAATGATCCATAGTTTTGAATTTTTGGCGCGTTTTGCTTTGTAATAATCATCAGGAGTCTTTCTTTTTTGTTGTTTTATTACCACAGCATAGGAACCTAGAAAATACGTTAGATAGGAAGCATTGTGTTTATAGTCTTTTAAGGGTTTTTGGAAACGTTTCACCAGAGTTCTCAAGCGTCACCCTAACCTATATCAAATTAGACAGTTTTTTTCAAAAATAGCCACAAACAAAGCAGCCAGGTTTCATGTAACCTGCTTGTCTCAACACTGAACTACAGGTAGGTAGATTGATGGTGTAAGAGGAACTGTCATCGCCATCTCATATTTTCACTCTAGAGATCTTGGTGGCTAACATTTGTGTTATACTTGATTGCAACATATATCCAAAAGAAATATAATAAAACATAGCTTCAGTTATTTTTCGTAATAAGTAGTCCTTGAACATCTACTCTGATTGCATGCTTTTAGGCATTTACTATTGTTATTATGAGTCTTATCTCTAGTGTAGTTTAGACAAAGAAATCTTTTGGAAATTCCCGAAAACTAATGATTCGAATAGTCTTATGGCGAGCAAACGGTTCAGTGATGAAATCTCTTAAAATATTGCATTCAAGGGGCCGTGTCATAGTAAATATATGTATTTCTTTGCAATAATCTATACCTTTTTGTGATTAGAATCGCAAACTTATTTTGGAAACAGATATATATGAATACGGTAAACAGGCAGATTTGACAAGTGCTTTGAATGTTTTCCAGAGCTTTTAGCAAGAAGACTACTTATAGAATCCAAATGGTCGTGACATGAGAGGACGTAGTGCGGCTGGTACTATGTTAAGCCCGCATAGGTTATTCTAGCCTTTGAACAGACCAATCTATTCATTCTTCTTAAGCCGCATTTCTACCCTGTCACCTATTCGCTCATTAACTCTGACTGTTTTTTATATGATTGCATATGTGTCAATTACTTACCCTATTCATTACGAACTTACTTAATTACGCTTGTTACCCCTTGTGGAGGAGCATAGGCCGCACACAAGCATTCTCCATCAAACACTGTTCTGAGAAACTTATTTTTGCTTGACTGTAAGTATCGATTCACGTTTTGTTGAATCGAGTTGGCTCACATGCCTTCTCCGATTCGTTTTGCTTCGCTCTCTCCTCTCCGCCTTCGCTTTGTTTTTTCTGATCGTCTGTCTGGATCGACGAGCGTATTAAGTACACGTGTTCAAAATCTATTTTCGTATTTCAACTATTTATTTCGGTCATTTACCAACGCAATGTAAGTCAATAAAAATATACAAGGGTGGCGGGGATGTATTGTAGGGGCTGGTCCTATGTTACGGCCACATAGCTTATTCTAGAGTCAGTCAGTCAGTCAGTAACAACGTAGAACTTCGTACGTACGTACATCAGTTCGAGTTGCCATACCACATTAGCACAGAGATGCAGTTGTCGATTCAAATCCCGTAGTGCTAGAGGTAGCAAAAGTATAAGCAGTAATCGGGAAGGTTAGGGTTTGGAGATGTTATTTAAAGAGTATAATACAGTGAAATAAATTTGGAAAGAGGAAAAAAGGGACATGAAGAATTCAGAAGATTAGAATTTGGGAGAACACAGAGAGTGGATGCACCTGCGCAATTGCAAACGATTTTGAGACATGTCATTCAGGGTCTCTAACCATCGGTTGCTATCATCTCGCGGTCCCCAACCAGGTAGTCTACACTTACCAACATGACTCAGTTCACTTGTCAATGACTTCATGGATTTGTGCCATGTTCTGGTCTGGCCACCCCTAGCTTTCTTCCAACCTACTCCTATACCATTGAACATCGTTCGTCGAGGCAGTCGGTCGTTGGGCATACGTAACACGTGTCCCAGCCATCTCAACTGATGAAGTTTCTAGAGTTCGAACAAACCAATTTATTCATTCATGTTGAATCACAGTTTGACCTTGTTAGTTATTTGCTTGTCAACCTTGACTTTTTATATAAGCTTGTGTGCATTTCTTATCTTACTCATCACATATCTGCAACTTATTTTCGAACTATAAATATTGAGTCATGTGTGATAAAAACGAGTTGGGTCACTCGCCTTTTCCATTGCACGTCATTTTGTTTTGTTTCGCTTTCCGATGAACGATTGTACGAAATATACGTTTCCAAAAATCTATTCTCGTATTTGACTTATTTGATTCCGCTATTCATCAACGTGATTTAAGTCGATAATTATATTCGAGGATTGAAGATATGTATAAAGGGATATTAAGCAGTGAACGTTCTACCTGGAGTCATGTCGGGCCAAGAAAGTATATTTTGATTACAGTCGTCCATATGATGGAACTGGAGACAAATACAATGCTACAAAATGATGGCCGAGACTGTGGGTCGGGCAAAACCGAACTTCGATATAATAAGGATATGAGATCAAAACATGACAGTTATGTTCGATGCCTCACTATCACTTTATTGGTTGATAGATAAAAGGGCATCCATTTTATTAGATCATAATCTGATCATATCCACCTTCCACAAGTCACCTTCGGATAATCGAGATCGACATACGTTCTACTATTATAGTGGTTGATTGTTGGTTGTTTTGTCTTCCGGTATCTGTAGGCTCTCGTCAACGACTCTGTGTTGTGGGCAAATGGCCATATATTATTGCATATTATAAACCGAAGATTGATTTTCGCCTAATAATTAAAGAATCCCTAAGTACTTGCTAATTGCAAGGAGTGAAATCCTAATCTCCAACATTATGCTACCTGTCGTATTTACTGTAGAACGTAGTCCGAACGTGTCGTCCCGCATTAGGATAATGGGAAGAAATTAACATGATGTGGAACTTAGGAAAGTAATCTCAAATGCAATTAAGATGTAAACATAGGAAGTATAGTTTTCAGTCAACAAGTGAAATCATATGAAACAAAGTGTAGAATAATAATAAATTCAATATCTAGGTTTGACAAAGATGAAACGTGGATAGAATCGTAGCAACAACTAGGAGTACTTATCCAGATACCTTCCACAGGTTATTTGTTCGTAATAAGGAAGGACTAAAACTTGCTGATGTTCAGGTTAAACTGGAGATTTTATTCTGAATCCCAACAGTCACTGTGTTGAATTACTTCGACTAGCCATTAAGAAAGATAAACTCATGCCGTCTTACTTGATTATTTACTCAGTTCAGTTAATCGATCGCAATCACCGTTTATATATATATATATATATATATATATATATATATATATATATATATTGCTTCAATAATTCTTCGTTGTATCTTAAGTAATTTGAAGTTTGTAGAAATATTCAACATTTCACAATTCTACAGTTTACTTTTGTTCACTAATTCTTTATGAGGGAAAAATATCAAATGAACGACATAGCTGTCGTGGGCTTTTACCATTGTTTAAAGGTATATTTGGTACTGTTGTAGAAATCGTTTAAAGTATTCCATGACGAGATGACATCCAGTGTGTTAAACGAATATTTGACTGGGAGTGGAAAAGTTTGAGTTGTATTTTTTGCTTGTAAATAAAAAAGAAATATAGAAAAAGTAGGACATATCTTATGGTGTTAATTTGATCTGATTTTTGAAGGTTACATACGAATCGTACTTCTGTTTCAAGCATGTTATTTTATGAAAACTAATTGTGAGCTAACTCTTCTGACGTACATCATTTCGTGTCTATTGGATGCCGTAGATGGTTGTGCTGCACGCGCGCTAAACCAAAGTAAGACTATTTCAGTAACGTCTTTCAATGATTTCATTCAGGTACGAAATTTGGTGCTATGTTGGACATGATTGTTGACCGATGCTCGACAATGTGTTTATTGGCTTGTCTTACTTATTTTTATCCATCATACATGCTTTTTTTTCAATTCAGTATGATTGTGGACATAGCTAGCCATTGGTTACATTTACACAGGTGAGAATTCATTTCGTTATTACTGGTTTAGTTCTGTTTTATCGGGAAAATCAAGTCATAAATTTATAGATCTTAAAGCAAATCGATTTCTCAAATTGTACTATACAAATAGGGTAGGTCATGTCGTTTCCAAAATTTATTCTTCATTATATATAGGTCATTCTTTTCTTGATGTGTGCAGGAAATGAGCTTTTCTATACAACGCTCTATATATACCATTTCTATACTGGACCAAAAAGTAAGTCTACACATTTCATTTTTCATGTTATACCGTAAGATCATACAGCTATAGACAGCCAATGGTTTGTCTGTTCGCGAGATAAAGCTTGAATTCTAGCTCATCATTTATGTACCAATTTTGCTGATTTTAAGTCTTTAGGCGTTCTCTAGAACGAAATCACAACCCATTTAAAACCAGTCATAAAGAGTACAGGCTGGTTCTTCAATTTGGTCAACGGAAATATCCATGGCTATTATGATTACCGCTTGAAAAATGGGTTTGTGAAAAGCTAGAAATGGAAATTGTTGTATTTAAGCTCAGTCCAGTTGTCGTTGACAACCATTTGTTTGCTGTACATCAATCTGTAAAACAAATCATTTAATTATATTAACGCTGCATATAACTGACTGACTGGCAGTTAACGTTCTCCCAGGTAAATTAATAACAATATGACAAAACACATATAGCTCTATCTGATATTCACCTTAGGTAATAACGGTCGTGCCTTACAATAATCCTGCAGATTTTTGACTTTAATATTCCTTTTTAACGTTGATATCGCAATGACGCCATAGTGTTTTTGGGTGTGATTACCAGCGATGTAAATCTATTATATGGAAATGTTCTCTAGATTTCAAATGTTTAGATAATACTATTTTGATGTACAGTAGCACACATTAGGCAATAGACATTCAACTAGTAAGCGATAACTGTTCTTCCATTTTGTGTTTTACATTCTAAGGGTAAGGCAATTCTGAAACCTTAATAGATCCGTGTCCTTTGCTCAGGCTAGTGTCAAGAATAGTAAAGTTTGTAAATTTAAGCTGTTATATAAATGCTATTGTCTCAATGAAGACAAATGTAGTACTTTAATCTACATGACTTATTATGTCTTTATGTCATAATACTTGGTTTGTCTTCATTTTTTCTATAATTAAAAAATCTGATGATACACAACTTAGGGTTAAGACTGGACTTTGAAATTGTACAGTAATAGATATGAACTTTCATACAATACCAAGTGTAGAAACATTTATTTTATAACTGATATGACAAATTGAAGAGTTGAATTTATACGCAAGGTTTTACGTTGTTTATATTTGTGGAATGAGTTGTAATGTCTTTTTCATTCATTTTAACTGTAATGAACTTTTTTGTCAAGTGAAGTATGGTAATTAATACTATAAAAGTCATATGACATAATATAAAAACCTTCCACCTCATTTGTGTCTATTTTATTTTCCTTTCTTTGACCAGTATTTGCTTCGGGATTATGGGGCATAGTGATTTGTTTAACAGCACCAATAGCATTTCTGAAAATGTTGATTAGCCTCATTCAGCTTCATGCAGCTTGTATGAATATGGTTTCACTGGATGAACTAGAAAGATCTCAGAATAAAGCAGATTAGTTACGTCTGCTGTTGTTAATTCGAAAGAACGAGGTATATATGTATGACTAAATAAATACTATTCCAGTTAATATATGTCTATAACATTCCGTGTTTGAACTAACCTGAGTAATTTTTAAGTACATTATTTTGTGTTGTAAGTCCCCTTGTAATGTTTTTATGAATACTAAAAAGATAACAAATTTGTGAAACTGGTTCGATGTTAAACTACTTTGCATTCTCAAACTCATTCATACTTTCAATCAATATTACAGAACTGCTTATTTTCCCCTCGTATATTTGCTCTTACTGTTTGCTTGTTATTTGCGTTGTTTTTATTTTTGCATTTCCTATTTATCTATCATCAGGTTAATTCTATTTTCTCTAAACTTTTGAACACATTAACTATACTATTATTTGTAATGTATTACACATGTCATACCTAATTTCAGTTATGAATTTTATTCTTCACATAATGTTGTGTAGTTTACAAGTTTTCTATCTCAACAAGTGCTTTACGTTGTATTTAATTTTATTGTCCGTGATATATTACAGCCTAATATTCTATGTTTTTTACCATAGTGTTCAAGACGTTAGTATTAAAACCAATCTAACTGGACTGGACAAAATGGCATACTCCGCTGGTAGGTTTCGTGCTGAACATTCAAAGCGTACAGATTACATTTGTTGATAGTAATATAAGATGATCAAAGTAATTCAGCGTGAACTCTGATCCCTGACTGAAAATAATCCATTTATCCTAGTATGGGACAAAACAGCCGTTCAGTGCTTCCAGGGTTCCAATGGTGGTCTAACATTGATCCATTCATGAACTCAATCAAAACTCAACAATCTCCACAATCCTGTACTGATAATCCATTTATCGTCTATTTTCTCTTATTCGGGTATCTTTACTCGTGTCTAATTGACACATAACCTTGATTTGTTTTGGGAATTTTGCAAATTATGTTCGGTGGTATAAGTATAGCTCATAGTCAATTTGAGTTATTCGTTGTCATCCTTTATTTGAAGGTTGACGTTGATTACAAAAACTTGTCACTGTGTAATGTTATTTTTTTCTCTCACGATAATGTATTTCGATTGGATAAAAGTTTATATAAACTGGTTAGAATAGTATGCCAATCAAGAAAAATTATCGTCTTAGTTCAGCTATCTGGTTTTTTATAAATTGGATACAGTGGTACATTACTTTTAACAGTTCACGTTTAGTAAAGCCATTAAGATAGCAGTTGTAAAATGATCACCATAAATAGTAAAACAAGCCTTGTACCAATTACGGTTTGTTATTCTTTTACATTTTAGCTCTCTTCTTCTGAATACCTATAAAATTTCTAATTTATATCACTAGATTTTTTGTATCTACACTTCGTCTCCGTTCACCACTTGTCTGTCACTAACTCGAGATTCTCTTATTACACAAATTTACATATATACTTGCATAGACGCATACCAGTAGGTCTTTTAAAGAAAATAACTGCTATTGAATACATATCAAAATCAAAGTAAAGATACTATCAATAAATTAAAGATGTTATATGTAAATATACTTAATCCAGTACATTTTGTTCTAATAATTTTAAATCATCCCAAGCTTCTTGTACAACTGCTAATAAAGTGTCATGTTAAGGATTTAAAGAATACTAAGTTAATAAACTAAATTTTTAAATAAAAAATTCAGTCAGAAAATTGATTATCACTACTATTTCTGTTATACACCATATCAGAAATAAATATATTCACAAAGAAAAAGTGGTTTATTTCTAACCCTGGACAGTCGATCCATAGTGAGGTTAAATATTCAGTCTAATCAGTAATAATATGTAAAACAAATTGTAACCGATAACTAAACATATGTAGTGCATTGACAAATAATAACTATGAAGTAAAGAACTAACAATAGTTTATTCATAATGTTATGTTTGTAATTCTAAATCAATTGAAAATTTTGATTCTCCCGCTATTGTTAAGCTATGGACCATCGATAGTTCCATCAAAAATTATTGACTCAGAATCTATACTATTCACTTCTTATCAAGTGTTCGACAATCTATAGATTAATATTTTAGCATGTAATCATATCAAGCTAGGACTTCAATTTAATTGAATATAAATAAGTCGAAATACTAAGAAATGGTCACAAATATATTATTTTAGTCGGTCATTGATCGAAGCTTACTAAGTAGGTGATAAACTGATACTAATCAGGTCATTATGAAGTAATAAGCAGTAGATCCGTCTCCAAAAACGCCTGCGCATTCCAAAATAAATAGAACATATTGCATTCTGTCGTTTTTATTTGTGATCCGTTTGCAATGGAATACCAGGAAAACTCGCTACATTTTACTGAATTTTCATAATTTGTAAAGAATTTACATTACATTAGGATAGTATATATTGCTGATGAAACAGAAATTTTCTTCGTTACCTTCAAGTAAGCTGGTCAGTTTGGTAACAGTCTGCTTGTATGACTGAGAAATAAGTAGACTATGACATTTGATCTCGCAATCTTTATAGCATAGCTGCTTGGTGGATACAAAAAGAGAATACTAGCGATTGGTTTTACAAGAATGGAAGCTACACGGCGTCGATCTGGGTAACCCGGTTGTTTCGCTAGACTTCACATTAGAATGTGACCAAGTTACAAGTTTCAGTCAGCCAGTAATGATCAACTTAGAGCCTGGCACAGATGTACATTGGACTAAGTTTTCATGCCATATTAGTACGACGCAATAAAACCAATAGCAAAGGAATCAACATACTGTAGCAGCAATGATACTGGGAATAAGTGAACAGTTGGAATGTGGTTCAAAAAGACAAAATGAAAAGGTATGTATGAAGGGATCCTGAAATTAAAGATTTAAAAGAAGTTGAAGAGTTCATTGAGCCACGTCATCTATTGTGTTCGGCTGCTGACTACAAGTACCCCATCCAGTTTACCTACGTCTACTTGTCCGTCTCAGACCAACAGACAATGACTTTGTCGTCTGTTGTATAAGATCACTGAGTCATTGCAAAGTTTAGCCTCTTTATAAGGATGATTATCAAGATTTGAATGGATAATTCTAAATAAACTGAGTAGATTGATAATAGTGAGATGTGCTTGTGTGTATGTAGTCACGGATGGTACGTAAAGTTCTGAATATTAAGAAAAGTCAAAATCACGTTTACTGTGACAAAATTATTGTAGTTCATTTCACCATGTTCTCGTTTGTCCTAAAGTTATAATTATGGACACAATCATATACTATTTTCTACTTTTAGCCCTATTTGAAATCTGATCACAGAACCAAATTGTTTATCTTAAACATAATCATTTATTTAATAGCTAATGTGGGCACAAACCAAACAAATACCACTAAACTTGGCGCTTATTTTGTTTTCAGTAATCCGATTATATTTGCGAATACATAATCTGAGCACAAGAACACAGTAGCTATTTTACGCAAACTAATGAAAATGAGAATAGATCCCACTTATGAAAAACGATTCGGCAACAAATACAGTCATTCCGCTTAGTACCTTATATCTCACTGAAGAGCAGGTCTATCGAAACTGAACAACCGTTACCGGGAGTGTGGCTACGTATTAAGGTCTGTCGCCCCTTGTGGAGCATAGGCTGACGACTAGGATCCTCCAACCTGGCCCGACGGTAGCTGCTACCTTGACGTGGTGGTTGGGCTTACCTATCGTGACGACCCGACGGAGATATATTGGCTGAAACATATGTCCCTGTAGGTTCGACCATGCCAGGCAGGTCGATTGGAGAACGGTAAGAATAAAAGCAGTAACTCAAGGTCTGAGGGCGAAGTTGTTCTGCTGACTGTAGAGGGGTGTGGCAGCAGTGAGGTGTTTTTCTCCGACAACCAGCAAAGCACCGATGCTGCCTTCTCACAAGGAAGGAAGAGGTTAGAAAATGTCGACCATAAAAATGTCATACCTCACCTTACCTCACGGATTTCCGTCTCTGGCGGTAAGGCCCTTTGGAGCTAACACGTTGAAAACCTCTTACAAAAAAGCCACGCGTGACCGACCTCAAGCAGTTGTCCCTTGGGCTCTGCGGTCACGCTCCCAGGTGGTCGAGACCGACACTAATCTAACTTCCTTTTCAAGTTTCCTAAGAAATACTTTTCCACGGCGTGGGCAGCTGGAAGTGATATCAGCCCTCATACCCGTAACAGCACACGAAACCAAACTGGTCACATTCAAATCCTGACTGACTGTTTCCCGGGCTCTGCTTCCCCGTTGTTCCCCTATTCTACACATTCTCGATATGTCTGTCTCTCATTCACAGCGCATTTTGTTTGTTATATCCCGATGAGAATAATGAAAAAGCGGCTTACACTAAGTCACGAAATGTCAGAAAATCTAATTTTTCTACTCACTGGGTTATCACAAATATTATATATATATATATATATATATATATATATATATATATATATATATATATATATATATATATATATATATATATTCGTGTTTCTCTTATTATAAGCTTTATTTTTACCTATGAACTATTATTATACGATTTACCATTCTTGAGTTATGCCTAGTCTATCCCACATTCACAGCCACTTTTGGCTAAATCTTGTACAATGTTATTTTCTATTTCATGGTACGATGTGGTCTGTTTGGTTGGTATATAAACCCAGTATGTTTGAGATATACGATTCATATCGCGGAGGCTGAGATTGGTGTTTTGAACTTAGAAGGCGGGGCTAGGCAGAAAGCAGGACCTGTAAAGACTCTATACTGCTCGTACGGGTTTTATGCGTCATTGGTCTGGTCGATAATTCACTGTTCTCTAATTGGCGGTATCATTACGTTATACATTAATAGGACACAGTGAACCAGTTATAACAGTGTTCTTTGATCTGTTTCATTTCTTCTGCCTTTAAAATTCCAAGCTAGGACTTTGCTTGTGATATGTTTCTCTGTTTTCCGTAAAGTTCGACCTATCTACCTACAACTCCTTGTTTGCAGCTTGTTTGTTATCTCCCACTGTTGGCCGCTATTTAATGGATCTGGAGTGTCCTTCATAAACAGCTGTTTATAAGTACCTGTACCTTCTTGATCATGGCTTTAGTAGTCCTCCCTGATTCAACTCTGGACAACTGTTGGAGTGATCCAGAAAATTGCTTGCAAAAGACAAGCAAGCATCAGCAAACACTAAGAAGCATTTCATCCAATCAGCGTCCATTTGGAGTTTTTGCCAAAAATATCAAGGAAGCGAAACGTCACATGCAGAGGCTCTGATTGGTTGGCTGCTACACTGCTACTACGTTTAGTAGCATTTCCAGAATCTTCTAGCGACCCAAGGACATTTAAAATATTATAAAAACCCTGTATTAAAATGAACCTTGGGGTAAACTACTTCTCGTATACTTTGAGTCTTCTCTATCGTGTTCAGGTCGCTGTATAGTTCTAGTTTGGAGGTTACCGAATAGCTTAGGAGACGAATACAGCGTTCAATCCGGCAAGACTTATCAACAACAGAGCTGTCTTGACATTTTTATCGGAAATTCTGATCTTGGGCGACAGCTCCAAAGATTCATTAATTGTAGGGATGCCACCCTTGTTTTGCCAGTTCGTGCATTTACATCTGCATCAGATCTTCAGGTTCATCAATGATGCTGCCTAGTTACGTAAAGCTTTCCATCTATTCCAGAGTTTATACATCAAATGTTATTTGGATGGTCCCCATTTTGTTGTATTTTAAGATCTTGCTTTTACCCTTGTGTATATCAAGACTTACTGGTACTACACCGGCTGTCTTAACTTGCATTTGTTGCTGTGTGGTGGTCCCGATTTTGAATTTTCGTACGCCTCCGAAACCTGCATATTTGATATTTTTCTAGCCTAGGCAGTTGAACCTATGAAATGACCGATTTTTCTAGCGGCGCGTTTATAATTATGAGAAATATAGGTTATTATTAATTGGATGGAATATGGTACCAGTCAACGTTATCCATACACCAAATAATGTTTTTTTCCTGTTATATTATTCATAACAACATTATAAAGCTAAAGTGTACACAAAATTTTTATGAAGGTCAAACTATTTAATAATAATTCCGACTTTCCTAAATGTTAGTTTGATTTACTTACAAAATTTATATTTGTAGAAATTCACATGTTTTACAAATAATCTGAATTCACTGATTAATGAATGTCAAGTGCACAATAATTATCATAGGATATCGACAGTTTATAAAAAGAATTCATGCACCCAAATATCATCATCCTACAATCCCACTAAATTATTATTAATGTCATTATCCGTAACAAAGAAAGGAAAGGCTTAGTTACTGCTTTTACTGACCAGTCATCATAACAGTCTTAATATTTGCAACATCATGTCAAAGTGAGATTTCTTCACCATGCATATTACAAATGTAGTTACCGGATCAAAGTCATTTAGTAAATTATAGTACTTAGAGTGATTTCATAAGAACGTTTAGTAAAAGTGCACTATACTAACGACCATGAGGGAGCCAGTAAGAATTGAGATAGCGTCTCGTGGATTTTGCACGAAATAGGAAGTGCAGTGAGAGATAACTTGTTATTATGATTTAGGTAAAAATTGGCAATTTCTGGTTTTTGAAAGTAATAAAATACATATTAAGCAACCAAACAGTGAATATGAGATGCTTAGTCTAAATCACAGGAAATACCTGCTCCCGATACCGATTGTATGTTAGAATATTCAATCCATATATAAGGGTGTTTAGTGTACCTAGACAGTATTCTCCCACTCTGACTCTCAATCTCAACATATAAATCCTTAAGTTTGTAAACAAAAGGGTGGTAAGGAATCACTCCATGACAGCTGATACTGGTTCGTAATGATAACCGTAACCATAATCTGTAAATCAAACTCAACTATAGCTGATCTAATACCTATCGCTAACCTTTTTGCTTTAAGGCTGGTGTCAGTTGGTGATGAGTTGAGCAAATATTTCCTTAAAAAAGGTCATTCTAACGTTGCCTTTAGATTGGTTATTCATTTGAGTGGCTAATTTGGATTTATAACCGTAGGAATTAATGATAATATATTTTAAAAAATATTACAATAGTAGTGATAACAAAATTCTGTTAAACATGGGTAACAGTGAGGCAGAATAAACAAAGGAATTAAAATATTATTTTTTATTAGGGAAACCAATAATAGTTTTATTGTTAAGGTTTTGAATAGTCATCACGATTATAATTTCCCTGATAAGAAAATGATGCTTTAATACCCTTATTTATTCTGCCTCTCTGTTACCATGTTTAACAGAATTTTACTATCACTTATTGTAACTATAATCATTCTGAGAAATATGTATATATATATATATTCGCAATTGTACAGCTTTAAAGAATATTCTCGCTTTATACATCTGTTATAAAATATCTACTTAACGGTTAATTTGGTTTAACATCCGAATATTATCCCCACTAAGTTAAAATCACTCAGAAAGTTGTTTCAGAAGCATTAAAGTATAGCGTCAGATTGTTGTTACTAACATAATTTCATTTGAGCCATCTTCGTTTAGCTACATATCATTCCGTCTACGTTAAATTTATGTCTTCATCAATCTGTAATTTCTGTTAACTGCTTAAATGTAAAATAACTATTACACAACCTACGAAAGATATGATCGATAAACGAACTCACTAATGACAACACTAAACGCCCACCACCACATTAACTCTCTCTGACCTTGCATGACTATAGCTTGTTCATTCACCAATCATAAATTTTATGTTTGTCATAAACGATATTAAGTTTCTGATAGAGATCATAAACCGATTGGTGTTAGACCACCAGTGAAAACCTGGAAGCACTGGACGACCATTTCGTCCTATTGTGGAACTCTTCAGTAGTGCGCATTAAAAATATTCGAACTTGTTATTTTTTTCAACAGCTTGATGTATTTTGTACCCATTTACATCATTCGTATGTAAGGCTCTCATATGTGATGGAATAGTTTATCGATATTTAATTCTAATAAAATCCAATAAACGTTTGCTTTAACAGTACAACACAGAAATATATTTACAAGACCATTGGTCAATTTTTACATATGAAATTACAGTGATTCAGGATCAACGTAACAAATACTGGTTAATAAAAATAGATTATTTGGAGGAGGATGTGGACTTGGGCTGAGTATGGTGAATGCGGACTTGTCCTCGGAAACATTAACAACTACGATAAATCCATAAACAGGAGCTTCTGGAACTTGATAAGGTTCTGAAGCTTGAGAAACTGCCAACAGACGATTCTTCAAATCTCGACTAACTGAAACCTGGATGGGATTACGCCATGTCTCCTCTTCTTGTGCTCCATGTGGGAGTAGTGCATCGGGAATGGCCTCACTTCCAACTTTGTAAATTGAATACTGGAAATGCAAAGAATAAAATATACAAAGACAGGTGGTGATGGTGATTTAAATTACTAGTTGCAAAAAGTGTAACAAAGTGTAAATAAAGAAAGGGATTATAATAAATGTCATTCAGTAATATGCGCCTATTAATCATCCCAACGAAGACAATGAAGGTCAGTTCCGTAAAAGGCTGCAGTCGACCGTAGAGAAGTGCCCAGGAGAACATCTGACCAGCCTGATAGAGGACCTAAACGCCAAGATTAGGATGGCCAACACTGAGTATGAATGTATTATGGGGGGATATCGACTGACAGAAAAGAACGAAAATGGTGGGAGACAACTAAATCTGTCCTTTCAACAACATGGTTATGAGTGGAGCGTTTCCCATACAAACACACACAAAGCTACATAGGTTCCACTGGACCACGCTATATAAAATTAGATCGATCACATCTGCAAAAGTTCCATGGAAAGACGTAAGAACAGAAAGAGGAGCTGATATACCTTCAGATCACCACATAGTGGTGATTAAGGATTGGACAACCGAAGAAGCAGGATTACAAAAGCTTGGTATAGTATTTCTTCAAGATGCTAACAAGCTTAGTGAATTCAACATAGCTCTCAATGAGAAGTTCCAGGCCTTAAAAGATTTACTCAGTCAGCTACAACGTAGGACCAGGCACATATATGCATCGGTCCAAGTTGCCATACCGCATTAGCGCAGCAAGATGAACACTGGATTCATAGAAGTAGTTACGTCAACGGGGGTAATATATAGGAGAAAGACTGCAGATAAAAGTATAGTACAGGAAGAAAGAATTAGTTTGTAGAAAGCAAGATATGAAGTGATTTTAATCTCTCAGTTTAACGGAAGACAGGGTGTATACACCTACGCCATTGTGATCGATTCTGAGCCATGTCGCCAAGTCTCCAACCATTGGTTACGATAGTCACGCGGACCCCAATCAAGTAGTCTGCATCTACCAACATGGCTCAGACCAGAAGTTGGTGACTGAAAGAAGGGGAAGCCACATAGAGTGCAACTGGGAAGAGATTAAGAAAGCAATGACTCCAATATTATAGGAAGTGCTAAGCCTAAAAAAACAGCACTATTAAGGATGGACCTCTGTAGACAATCTACGCGAGATCCAAGAAAGGAACAACAAGACAAGAACCAATAACAGCCGAACAAAAGCAAAGAATGTCAAGGCACAGGCCGAATACACAGAAGCAAATGAGAGAATGGAGAGGAGCATGAAAGCTGACAAGCGAAAATATGTGGAAGACCTAGCAACGATAGAGGAAAAGTCTGCAATAGGAGTATGGGGAAACTGTATGACACAACAAAGAAGCTTCCAGAGAAATATGATAAGCCAGAGTGACCGGTCAAGGACATAGAATGAAAACCAATCACTCAGATTTAAGAACAGAGAAACAAGTGAGTTGACACTTTGAAGAGCTCTTGAATAGACCAACCTGGTTTTCATAAGGATCGACCAAGTACCAACCAAATAGCGACTGAGTTGCAAGGTCGTGCATGAAGAGTAGCTTAGAGACGCATTCTAAGTGAAGGCCAGTGTTAAACAAGGTTCGTTACTCTCGCCTTTTTTCTTTCACTAGATACTTTGATATAAACCACACACTAATTGTAAGGGCTAGTGATAGTACTTGACTGCTCGAACGGAAGTCGGTGGAGCAGGATTTGAACCTGGTATTTAGTGCCTGAAGGTAAAACCTTTTAACCACTGAACCATTATTGCCCTTTTTCTTTCTGCTAATTGTTGACTGCAATATCATGACCTTCAAATCTCAGAAGAAGCACGGAATACAGTGGATACCTTGGATGCAGCTGGACGATTTGGACTTCGCAGATGACTTAGTTCTTCTATCTCACACAACAACAAATTTAGATGAATACGGTGTAGCAGGCTTCTTCGGAAATAAGCTTAAACATTTACAAAGTAAGTCAAAATAACATATGGAGAAAATCGGTCAGCAGCCTATGTCCAAACAGAGGTAACAGTATTAAGTAAGTAAGTTTTCCGGGTTAAGGCAGAACTCGATGAAAAAACTTGAACATGTAAATCGAAACTTTGCAACAAGATTTACTGTAGAACCCGTCAAACGAGAGGGTAACTACCTTACAGGTTGAGACCACGCACTGCACTTACTGTAAGTTTGAGCAGACAATGTCATTAACCCTTATAATCAAAGTGGTTCAAAGATGACTATACAAACTTGCGTTTGGTAGGCGAGCCGATTAAAAAGTTATACTTTCTAATCTAACGACTAACATATACAAACACACTCATATTTCTTAAACCCGACTGACAGAGATCTTATTTCAATGAAGAATCAATAGAAAGAAACTAACCTCAGAAGATTTAAGCGTTATTTGATGTGGATGTAGACGTCTCAAGGGGTTTTCGCCATGTAAATAGGCGCAGACTCGAGCATCTCGCTGACGTGTCCACTGATCTGGACTTCTAGTTATAGCACCTGACGATTTGGGCAATCTTACTATAGTCACCTCGGGAGGAAGATCTTCACGCAGGAACGAAGCTAGAAATCCATCTTCTATGACCAATAATGTGTCAACCTAAAGAACAAAGTGCTTTTAATTTCATGAATATATATATATCACTATCAAGGTTTAACTTGATAATGTCAAAAAAAAATATACCATCTGGTGGATTATTTAAAAACGTAAGATAACAAAATAATGTAATAAATATTTTATGATTTAATACTTTTCCCAAGAATACTATTAAAACTGCACTAACACGAAACATTTTGTTGTAAATCAAATGAAATACCATAGACCGTAGTTTTACCATTAACCATTTTTCAAAAAACCACATTTCATGCCTTCAAGTTTGATATCATAAACACATGAATTATCCTTATACCTTTATATTTTTGACGGCCACCTCAATGTACAAGAATGTGCATATGTCTTTAGCCTAAATGATGGCATTGGCGTGATTAGAATTTTTTTTATTGTATTAAGTACTTTGATTTGCTCCTCTGTAATATACAGAACTAAGCTAATTTGCTTTGATTGTTCATTCATTCTCTGTAGAAGTAACTTAAGATAAGTTACAGGATTTTAGAAATTCAATTTTTTCTACTAAACGGAACATTACAAATACATTATTTTATCAATCTATATGTAATGCATTGCTTAAAAATCGATTGCTTTAATCATAAAGTCAATGGTTCATACGTATGACACATTGACAACGTAATGAATAGACTTTGTAATTTAGATCTGCTGAAGTGAACAGAGGTAGCAACAGTGTGGAGAGTGCAATATAACATTTCTTATTACCAAGAAACAGTGAGTTAACTTTAGCCTTTGGTGAATTTTAGTAAATATCAAACCTCTTCATCTTTTCTCATGCACGATGATATACCTGTGAAAATATTTTAATTTTGATGGAACAATAACAAACATAATAAAATAAGTTAATAGTTGAATTCATGAGTCAATTGAAGCTAGACCATTATGGAAAACCTGAAAGCACTGGACGGCCGTTTCGTCCTAGTATTGAACTCCTCGGCAGTGCGCACCCACTATCCCGCCTCGCGAGATTCGAATCGAGGACCTATCAGTGGATGCGCACTGTTGAGGAGTCCCATACAAAGTAAGATGAAACGGCCATCCAGTGCTTCCAGGTTTTCCATAGTGATCTAGCTTCAATTGACTTATGAATTCAACTATTAAATTACTATAATATACACAAAACCATTCTCTGATTATAATAAAATAAAATGAATTCATTTTACTTCATAGCTCTTTTTTATCATCTGTTTACAACTTAAACATAATAGTAATGGATAGAGACTACATTTATTTACTAAAAATTAACTAGTAATAACATAAAATTACACAATTATATATTTGTTGTATTTAACATTGTGAATTTCGTACATCATTCAGATTTCTCATATCATATCGGCTCATATTATCCAAATGAAAAAAAGATCAATATCTTGTTAAATAATCACTGAGACGTGATTTGACCTTACTTATATATACACTCTGGTTTATATCATATGCAACCATTTTTCCGACAAAAACAAATTAATTTGAATATTTTAACAGTACAATAGTTTGCATTTTACATATAATTCATGTTTTAAAAATGTTTTTCAATTTGTACTTTTTTTTATAATTTCGAATAAACAAATGATTCATATTAAATATCAACCAATAATAACGTAAGTTACACAAACCACATACATATTCATTCAGAGTCAAAGGAACTGGATCGAAGGGGGATTTGAATCAATATTTTCTACACCGCGGAGGCATTGGCAATCCACTCAAGCCTGAACTTTGCGTGCAGAAACAATTTATCCAACCTCTCATCCTCCCTTGGCCCTAATTTTTTCTGCACTTTTATTTAACTATTATCGATATTATTATGACCTTTGTTGTTTGTCGTTTTTCTTCGAATTTGTCAATTGGACTATTATCTGACTCATAAATTCTATTCTCCCTTACCCCTTGATTAATACGTTAACCTCATTTGTTATTTATTGTCGAATCCATTTTTCTGATACAATCCTTTCTATCCCTCTATAGACATATATTTTCCATATAACTATATATATGAATGTACAGCTTAAGTAACTGATTTCGTCGAAAAGAAAATTTTCTTCGCTGAATTCTCTTTTTCTTATTCAATGACACTATGGGTTATTTTAATTATATTCATTATTATTTAGATTGTGTATTTTATACATTATTCACATATTACTATTTACTAAAGTTAACATCAGAATATAATTAGATAAGTTCTTAGTGTAGATTTGCTTGTTAAACGTTAGAAATTCTTTGATAATATTGATTTTGATTATTATTCCTGAAGATATCCACATTAGTTTTCTGGACAAAATATTGGAATTATTTAAATTTCCAATATAATTTTCACAAATAATGTGCTTTGTTTACTCGGTGACTAATTTTTGTGAAACTATTCATTCAAATATTGACAAATATTCGTATGAATTTTGTTGTGTTAGTATTTTGTAGCATTTAAAACTTACTTCACTGAAGTGAAAATTTGGGCTAAATCAATGTGTATGTGTCAGTTTACTTGCTCATGTGGAACGGGTTATATCGGCCGCACAAAGAGAGCTCTTTAGAAACGCATCTCTGAACATTACCATACCTGCCTCTCCAAAGGATCACAGAAGTCAGTCAAAAACTTAATCTTGGAGAATCTAGTCGATTCCGGTCACTTCGCTTTACCAGAACCCTCCTTCAAAGTCATACATACAGTCAGAGAGGTTCTTTCAATATCTGATTTTCAAGTCTTGGTAACATACCATCTGAATATTTAACACCATTCTATCTTACCACAGAATACTATTTTAGCAAATGAAATTAACTATAAATATGATTGTACAGCCTAAGTAAGTGAAATCATCGAAACGAAAATTTTCTTCGTTGTGTTTTTTCTTCGTCAATGGCATAATGGGTCTCTTTCGCTATCTACCATTTTCATTTAATGCAATGGACTAACTTAGTTAAAATATCTTGTCTATTGTAACATAATAATTTTGGACTTGCAACTGTGGAGCTTGATGAAGTTATTGAGTAAAATAGTTCACTCTAATATTCTTTGTTCTCCGAGTTTAAAATAATTCGAAATTATTAATAAGCAAACAACAATGAACTTGTTGCATTTTGTCGAAGTCATAGCTATTAAAAGGTTTAAACCAGATTTATGTATTCAATAAGATAATGTTTTCACTCTTGCTTTGCCCTGGTGGCTTGATCTTCCAACGTGTAGTTCCATAACAAAGCTTTGTTTATATATTTCATAACTAAATTTCTCCATACTTCGTTCAGTTTTATCTGAACTTTACTTATTTTTACTGATCTGTTTTCTTGTTATTATTGTGCAAAGTTGAATTATTAATTAACATTCTCATTAATTTGTCTCTATGTTTTTTTCATAAAAAGAACTTTCTCCTATTACTTTTATCTTAGTTAACACAAAATTATTCAACGATTTAGATAGCTTTTAGGACGATTGTTAAATAAAACAAGATTTTTAGTGTTGAGATGACTCGTATGCAATGAATCAGCTTACACCTGAAGCCCCCAAATGCCCTGGTACGGTCGAGAGTGGGGAGAGTTCACTCTCCCTCTCGAAATGCTCTCACATGGCCACGCGTATATAGCCTCTGCCAGGGAAGTCCTAGTCACTGCCTTCTCATGGCGGGGGTGTTGTTTACGAAAATGAGAGGACGAAAAGCGAATGTCCGGCGCTTTAACCGGATCACAAACCAATGGTGCACATGGGCTCCAGTATTCTGCGGGAACAAATGGCGTATGAACCAAATGTTGGTCACCGGCTTCCATGGGACTGCATCTCCTTACGATGCTCCACTGCCTTGTGGATCAGACCTTCAGGTCGAAGGCTCGAGGTGTGGCCCCCTAAGAAAACCAACTGCTTCGGTTTGGGCACCCGGGCAGTATCACAGCCCTCACACATATCGAATGAGATTTCTGTGGCGCATATGTATTTGGTGCCTCTTTGTACCATTATCTATGTGTTGAAATAAATAAATTACACCTGAAGTGAAATTATAAGATTCATGATCAGAATAAACATGGGTATGATAGGATAAAAAGAATAGTAGTACAATTACGAATTCAACCAAATGTTTATTATCGCTTTATAAAAACTGTATCGATGAATTAATTAAACTTTTCTAATATATTGATATAAATTGTGTAAACCAATTTCTAGTGATTATTACCATTATGTTCTGGATGTAAGTAGCTGATAAGCAATCATGAAGTAAACTGAATTCATGTTATTCTGATATGTTGATTCTTCGTGATTTATTTAAATTTATCAATGGGAAAAATCGCATCAAATACTTGAATTTTGATCATAAGGAAATCATCCACGTGTTGAAAAAAGTAGATTAGTCTTTGAGGTAGTAAAATACGTTGTTAACTTACTTCGAAAGCTGCAGCAGTCGTTCGTATGGCTTGGATACCCTTTTCTTTACTTGACCCACCATCTGAATCATCTTTACGAAATCCACTCATATTGATTATACAACCACTGGTGAATATACTCATATCATTCTCAGAACGAATATTGATAAGTTCGGCCAATCGATTCACCTAAATGACAGTGCCAACAAGAAAGCAACCTGAATTAAAGTCCCAAAATTTATAAGTGAATAAACACAAGTGTAGGAAAGGTCCCAAAAAATCCCTTACCAAAGTCCCTAGAAGTCCGGAAACGCCTGGAAATACGTTACCTAATCAGCGTTGAATAAAATCTCTGCAGAAACATTTGGAAAATTCAGAATCACTTGTCACAGTTTTGATTCGATATTTACCTATAGTGCCATTATATTCAGAATGATTCCAGAAATTTCCAGAACCACAAGGTAATGCGTATCTCAACAAATGCCCTCTTTGTTGTTTATAAAATAACCTTGGAGTAAGGCTTCTACCCGCAATTCGCGCTCTGTCTCTATTGTTCTGGTTGATGTGTAGAATCAGTTAGGTTTATCGAAATCATCTGAGAATACAGTTTAGGCGTACGGTAGCAAGACTTATCAACAATTTAAACCACGAAATCTATTCCTGTAGTCCAGGAATCATTATATATATATATATATATATATATATATAAGCTACTTAATACATTACAAAAATTAACCTCCCAATTACGTGTTCATGTACTTGACTGATGCATGTTTATTGCAAAAGCTAGTTAAATAATTTAATTTCCCGAAACTAAGTAGAACCAACAAGTAATAGGACGAAACTCGTGTCTTTGACTCCAGTGATGGGCAAAAATCCATCTATTCTATGAAAGGACCTAACTAGGTTCGATTTGATGTTCCGGTTTCAAATAAAAATCCAACAGCATTTGAGAACAACTGCTTAAAATAAATCCTTACAATCAATTGAATATATAAAAGGCAAAGTCGACAAAAGCATGTTCAGTGAACTGGAAACAAATCTTGAATCACTAGAAATGTGATATCGTTTCAAATAAAGCAAATGAGAATGGAGGTAATAAAAACTTTGCAAAACTTCGGGTTCACTGATCTTACTTTTTCTCAAAAATTTGGTATTGGAAATGTTTCTAAAAATTAGGACAAGTTAGACTCCTTAGGTGTTATGTTAGAATTGTTTAGGCAGATTTTCAAAAACTTACTTTACTTGCAATCACCTATACAGCGAATCAGTGACCGGATAGCATACAAGGTCTCGTATATTCTGCATTTTCATCAACATAAAAGATCGATAGTCGTCCTGACCTGACAACTTTCCCCGTAGTAGTTACAACTCACACTGATCCGCTTAAAACACGTTGTTTCTTCAAATTTTTATTGGCGCAAACAGCTCCAAAGATGTAATGAACTTCCTGAGGTTTACTTATGGTTTATGAAGAAACTTTAGTAGTTTAGTTTGCATGTTTACTGAGCAGACCATGTACATGACTGAGTGAATACAATTCAAACTAAGTTATTTGGTGAAACAAACCAACCTCTTTAGCACCTAGTGGAACTAAATCCATATGTAACAGACCTATTTTAACAAGATATAAATAATAAGTGATAGTGTTCACTCATTGATTTAACTGTTTATATGATACACTATGCAGCCTCTTCTCAAGTGCGTAACGATTTTCAAATACATAAATTTAAAGGCAAATGCTACACTGGATAAGTAGTAATTAGACAAATAGTAATTAAACATACTTGTTCTCGAAAAAGATTTAAGTTACTCGCAGGATCAGTGTGACCGAAACAAAATACTAGTGGATCTTCCTCTAGACTCCACCCTTCCATCAAATCATATGGTTTGGTAACACTTATTGCAGCAATAGTTGTTGGTATACACACCTGTTACGTATATAACAAAAATACATAAAAATCCAAGTTGTTAATGAAGGAGGAATGCAGCAACATTGAAAACAGTAAGACATAATTTTGAAAACGAGTCACAAGAATTGAAAATGTCGGAAAAAATACGATTGAACCACACCATTCAAAAATGCGATTGCGAACCAAGTGCTCAGGAATAAGGTCACAAGAATTGTAAATTATTCTAGTGCAGATAAATAAAGTTATTTGGAAGTTCTACTGTAAATTCTTCTTTGTTACAAAGAATACGATGATCGCCAATGTAATAATGATGAAAATATTTAAGTTGAGTTATCTTAATGTGTCAGAAATAATTAAGTGAAGAGTAAATCCAACCGACTAGTCGCAAATAACTATAGATTATTACCAGTTCACTGAACAATGATTTTAGACGTGACACTTTAGTACATGTTTTCTAAGTACCTCAAATTCGGGGCCGATAATGAATTTTTTAATCATCAGCTCCGTTTGCTTATATAATAAAATTAAATTTAATAGCCTCTTTATATACCCTGTAAAGCATTTTAAAGTTCAAATGCAGAGTTTGTAAAATGATAGTGTTTTAATGGAAAAATTCGACTGGACATTTTGCAATCACCCACCAAGTTAGATCTAAATCACAGTACGTTTTTTGTCATAGGTTATCATTAATTATGAAGAATCTCAGGAGTCGACTAAGCAGTCGTTGACAAAGGGGACTATTCACATTTACAGAAACCAAAATCTTGTTATCCACCAGAGCTAAATTACAGACGAGTAAGGATAGCCACATATACCAATTATAGTTAAATAAACATTTAATATTTCATTAAAAGTAAACGAAATCTACATACTAAATAAAGAAATAAAATTCACAAATGACATGTGTTTGATGGATAGACTCGAACTAACTACTTAAGTTTACGGAGACATTTGAAAAACTGAACATATGGTTGCAGAAAGAGTAACTAGGAGAGAAAAGCACTTGCACAATTAGAAAGAAGTATTTAATTTTGTATGAAGCCATACGTGAGTCAAACCAGAACACAAGACATCACTTAATGAGAAACGGTTTGTAGGCTTTTAGGAGTTTCATATAGGTTATGGTAATATTGACACAAAGTGAAGCCTCGACATTGAAGGGTCAATAATTTCAAAGATACCCTGACAGACGTTGATTAAATATTTTATAAAGACTAAAGCGAATCTATGACAAAACTGAATTAGATTACATGAAAAAAGTTTTACATAATAAATGCGGTACCTGGTTGAGTCCGACGTTAACATCTACAAGTATTGGTTTGTGTTTCCTACGAGCTGCATAACTTGCCAAAGTGCGACAAAGTGTAGACTTCCCAACACTTTCTTGACCACATACTAATACGCGTGGCCCTCTACTTTGCTCCTTTACAGCTTTTTGTCGTGAAACTTCTAGGTTAGCATGAATATTCATATATACGTGCACAATTTCTTGATCTTCCGATGAGGCAATTATATAGGCTGCAACTCCCTGGTCTTGAACAATCAGTTTGCAACCATGGAACGTAACGACTGTTCCTCGTTGACCTGGATATAACTGTAACTCCCAACCACAAACGAGTTCAGTACCAAAAACTTCAGCAGCACCAGAAACTAAAGTTAAACCAGATGGTGAAGTGACTTCAAAACGAAGCATCTGATATTTCTCTAGAGTGTATGATCGAATGGATGGGTTTGATCGTGGAAAATCCTTTACGCCATTCATTTCTACCAAATCTGGATTCCCAGGTATTATGGCTTGCCCTTCAAAGGAATGATGGCAGATTATATAAAATCTGTCGGAAAACCAATTTGCATCAAATAAGAGATCTAGGAAAATATGGGGAATTGATTGATGAGGTAGTGGGGTGGTTTGGACATTTATTACACACGCCTAATCACTGCCTAATTCAAAGAGCAATTGGTGTAGGAGTAGTTTAGAGGAAAGCTAAGAGCCGCCAAACAAAGACCTGATATCAGTTCACCAAATCACTAAAAAATGCACTGAGATACGAGATGTAAAACCTCGCTTGATTTTGACCACTTTAAGCCACCCGCAAGACAGAATAGATCTACCCATTTATGAAAAGGTGGATATATATTCCACGAGTTTACTTCTCTGTGGTAAAATAAACCTTTAAGATAACAGCATGAGTAAGTCCCTTAGTATCAGACCACAGATATTTTCAGAACTGTTGGTGTACGATGGAACTATTCAATGAGTATTGATGAAACTAAACATTCGATTTTAGGAGTTACAAGCCTGATGATGAAATGACAACCCTCTAATGTATGAAGTGATGTGGAAACGTGATACACACGTCCATTCTGATGCTTTGTGCTGGCTAGTATATGATTAGATTGAAATATGGGTAGGTGTTGCTATATTCTAAGTCTTGAAATACTTTCATATTTGTCAGTTATTGGTAAAGGCTACACTTTTCATTTAAGTGTGGGAATCAATTGTGCTGACCGAAATAACATATAGAAAACTCCCAAATAAAAGGAATCTTTTTTAAACATTAGCCGGGGAAGTTCTCAATTTGAATAGCCATCACTCATGTTACAGCCACTTCTTAGCAATGCATACACACAAACGCCAATGCAGGTAAACCTCTCTAGAAACCTACGGTGAAAATTTTGAGATTATATGATTTCAACCCGTACAGATATAGAATGATAAATATAGAAACTATGTAACCTTAGTGTATCCAACCTTGATATTGTAATTTATTAAATCTCAAAGAAATGTCACCACAAAAACGAGAGAACCTTTAAAACAAAATTTAGGGGAGTTCTAGGTGGCTCTCACACTAATAAACTTTAATCAACCCACCTAAGAGAAAATTTTCTCTTAGGCAGGCATAGATTAATCAATGATTCGTCAGAATTTCTGCTGTTCGGACGAATTAGCTACCCTTGATTGCACTTATCTTTTATATGCATCCCCGAAAGTGCTTATTTCTATCTATTTTTTTGCTAGATTCACCTTCATTCGGTCGAACGAAACCGCTTCACAAGAAGGCATTGAGATGACTTACTTTATGCCAAAAAGCCAAATGTAACGCACAAATTCGGATTTGCGTATTCAGTCTTCAGTCTTCAGTAATAAGGATAGTAGGTTGATGAACCTGTGTTAATCCTGACACATTGCTTTCCAGTGAAGGTCCAGCTTCTCCTTGAAAGTATTCACTGATGGGGCTGATACCACTTGTTCGGGTAAGGCGTTCCAAACGTTGACTACTCGATGAGAAAAACGGGACCACACTTTAAGTTTATTAGATCGTGGTTTATGAACCTTCTTGCTATGACCTCGGAGATTATAAGTGCTGGAGGGAGCAAAAAGATAAGACATATTAACACCCAAATCACAATTAAAGATACAAAATGCCAGTGTAAGGTCACCTCGTGTCCTACGATACGACAAGGGGAAAAGATTTAGGCGTTTTAAGCGCTCATCGTAAGGGAGTCTAGAAAGACCCTTCACTAATTTCGTTCCCACACGCTGGACACGCTCAAGGGAGTTAGTATCCTTTACTAGACACGTACTAGCCGCTTGGATACAGTACTCTAAATGTGGTCTTACATATATGGGATGATGATGTCACAGGTATTCAGTGTTTGACAACGCTTCTACCAGTAACACCTTCTAATATATTTCGTTCCCGCCCAGAGAAATCAAAAGACAGAGTCGAGGAGATCGGAAGAGTATATTTGGCGATGACCAATATATCGGAATTCTCTGATCTAATCTGGCTAGCGATTGCGGTTGATGTTGAGCACGGCGTTACCACACGTGATCTGATGCGGATGCCTGACCGAGCGCCTTCAGCTAGGTGAGTCCACTAAAACATATGGTCAGCATCCAATGTCGAAAACTTAGTGCTATTTATTTTGGGGATTTATTTACCGCTACAGATCACTCCCCCCCCTAGTGGGGCAGTGACGACCCCGAAGACGTGGCCAGCCAGAAGTTTAAACCCAACGAGTTTGTCGTTGGTAAACACTCTTCTGATAGCTTACTAAGTGTAGCAGCGTCTGGTCGTCTTTCCTTACTATATGGGACCGAGGTACAACATAGTAAAAAAAGAAAATGTACAATGAAAATTTCGGATCCTCATAAACGTCATCGTTCTTTTCCAGCCGTCCTGGAATAGAAAAAAGAAAATGTAAGTGCATGTCGAAATACACTCGTATGTGCGTAAAAACAGAATGTCGGCGGAGAAAAAATGGAAAATAAACTCATGAACACGTAATAGCATTTAAAAAATTGTTTTTTTTGTTTTGTATTTTTTTTTAAATAGAAATAAAAATATATAAGCATATTAAAATTGTTTTTTTAAAAAAAAATAATATAAAATGTCGAGAAGTGCCTTACGTGCAATAGTCGTTTAAATGTTCTGGAAATCTCACCCTTCTTCCAGAACGCGTCGTTTTAAGTTTATTTTCGGATACTGTCGAAGTATCATCGTGTGTGTTGGTTGTCGGATGAGGTATTATAAGTGTCGGAGTCGTGTCGTTCGATTGTACCGAAGGAAAATCCACGTAGATAGGATTTCCTTCTAAATACGCTGCTTTTAAGCGATCGATACTGATGCTATCGTTGGTTCCGTTCTTATCGACTATATAGTACTTAGATTCACGTTGAAGAACTTTGAAGGGTCCTTCGTATGCTGATTCGAATGGTCGTCGATGCGAGTCTCGACGAACGAAAACGTGTGTACTATATCGTAAGTCAGGTTGAACGAAAACATCAGTTGATTGAGGTCGAGTGGAAGCAGGTTTAACTGAACGCATTGCGTTTGTAAGCCTGTTCGTGTAGGAGGTTAGATCCATGTTCATTGAAGAGGATGAAGGATCCACGAATTCTCCTGGAAGTCGAAGTGTCGTTCCATAAACGAGTTGAGCCGCAGTGTATCCAAAGTCAGCTTTCACTGCATTGCGGATACCTAGTAAGACGAGTGGAAGAGCGTCGGTCCACTGTGAAACGTTTGCAGCTGATAGCGAAGCTTTCAGTTGTCGGTGAAAACGTTCTACCAACCCGTTTGCTTGTGGATGGTAGGCGGTCGTTCTGAAGCGAGTGATTCCTAAAAGAGTGGTCAGACGACGGAAAAGATCGGATTCAAACTGACGTCCGCGGTCTGTAGTGATGGTTGAAGGGCAACCGAAGTTTGCTACCCATCGTTCGACGAAGGTGCGGGCCACTGTTTCAGCAGTGATGTCCTTGATAGGTACTGCTTCTGGCCATCGAGTGAAACGGTCTACGCAGGTTAAGAGATAAGAGTATCCATTTGAATCTGGTAAAGGTCCTACCAAATCCAAATGAACATGGTCGAAACGAGCATCGGGAGTTTTAAACGAGCATAAGGGACATTTATTGTGTCTGATAACCTAAGATTTTTGGCAGCTTACACAGGAGCGTGCCCACTCCCTCACGTCTTTATTCATTCCAGGCCAGCAAAACCGTTCTGCTATAAGCTTGATGGTTGCACGAACACCTGGATGAGAAAGTTTGTGCAATGTATTGAAGACATTGCGTCGATAATGTTTCGGCACGATTGGGCGATCCCTACCTGTAGATGTGTCACAAAGTAAGGTTTCCTTACCTGTTCCCATCTGTTTGATGCGTAGTTTAAGTGTTGTGGACGATAACTCGTGCTGAAGATCACTGTCTTCTTTTTGAAGCTCGGCGAGTTTTAGAAGGTCGATTTCTTGGAAACTGTTCAAGGAAGTTATGCGAGATAAAGCGTCTGCAACTACATTGTTTGCTCCAGAGATGTGTTGAATATCTGAAGTAAACTGCGAAATGTAGTCCAGTTGTCGAGACTCACGGGGAGAGTACTTGTCAGAAGGAGAGCTTAACGAGAAAGTGAGCGGTTTATGGCCCGTGAAAAGAGTGAATTCACGACCTTCGATGTAGTGTTGGAAATGCCGTACAGCACAATACATAGCTAGGAGTTCCCTACCGAATGTGCTGTACCTCGATTCGGTGTCTAGCAACCTTCTAGAGAAAAATGCCAAGGGTTGCCAGGAGTTGTTAACCCATTGTTGTAAGACTCCTCCGATTGCCGAGTCGGATGCGTCTACTGCGATGCTAATGGGTGCTCGGGTGTCCTGATGTGCGAGCATCGTTGCTTTAGCAATCAGTTCCTTAACTGTGGAGAATGCTTTTCGTGCGGTGTCGTCCAAATTAATGGATTTCGCATTTCCACGAAGTTGGTCGGTCAGAGGTTTCATAAGTAATGCGCATTTCGGTATGAAACGTCTATAGAAACTTACGAGGCCGTTAAACGTGCGTAATTGCTTGACGGTGGTCGGTTCTGGGTAATCCAGAATGGCCGCCACTTTGGTCCTAAGAGGTCGAATGCCTTGAGCATCGATAGTGTGTCCTAGGAAGTCTAACGAGTCGGTTCCGAATTGGCATTTCTGAACGTTTACAGTTATGCCATGTTTTTGAAGTCGTTCGAAAACAAGATCCAGATGCTTGAGATGTGTTTCTCTGTCCGGACTTGCGATTAGACAGTCGTCAACATACGCGTGTACGAAGTTGAGACCTCGAAAAACGTCGTCTATGAATCTTTGGAATGTTTGAGCAGCATTCCTTAGACCGAAAGGCATTCGCAAAAATTCATAGAGTCCGAAAGGAGTTATGATAGCTGTTTTCGGTATGTCGCCAGTAGCCATAGGGATTTGGTTATATGCTTTAACCAAGTCGATTTTCGAAAA